CGTCCTGGGCTCACGCGGGAACTCGCACTCCTTGGCGGGAAAACGACGGTAGCGGCAGACCGGGGTCCTCACTCTTACAACTCCGGCAACAGGCTGACTCCGAATTTTCCGCGATCGCGGATCGATAGTTCGGGGGCCCCCCCGCGCGGCTGCTCGCGCGAGGCGCGTGCCCCGCGGCCAATCGCGCGACGGCACGCGACAATGCCGGCCGCGATATTCTCACGATCGGGCGCAGGTGCCCGCGGTATCGCCAAATTTTCTCGCGTTCCCTCGATAGGGCTGTCGCAGCGGCTCCCCCGCTGACGCCCCTCAGGTATCGTGCCACGGGCCCTGGGCTCCTTCCTCCCGGCTCGCTGCTCCGCGCGCTCCGTTCCCGCTCCGCACGCCTCTCCACCGTGCTCGCCGCGGAATTTGTCCGTTAGCCGGGCCTCTCGTCTTTTCTCCGCCCTCGCGTCCATCCGTCCTCACCCGCTCGTGTTCATCATACAAAAAAAACAAAATAATCAGCCATACGTCGGAATTTCCGAGTAAAGGTCGCCTCTCTGGAGACTGCGGCACGGTTTTCCCTAATCTCGGCCTGTTGCCTTGAGGGAGGAACCCGGTGGACGCGCTCGCGGGACGGCAACGTCACAGTGCATATTTAACCGGAAGAAGCCAGGCAGTACGTGATGATGAGGGGAACGTTTCCTCGGTCGTGCATACAAATATGGGAGTACCGCAAGTTTCGGTCCTGGGACCGTTGCTCTTTGTTCTATTCCTGTCGGACTTCAAACAGATACTGCTGACCTCGAAATATATATTTTATGCTGACGACCTGATCATTTATAAGCACTGCAGTCCGGGCGATTTGGACGGTGACATTGCACTGATGCAAAATGATATATGTATGATTGAGAGATGGGTACATGACAATGGCCTAGTACTGAATCCTGATAAAACACACGCTATAATTTTCGGGACAGCGCGCTACGTTAGAACTATTCAGTTTGAACGTCTTCAACGGTTCTGTGTTGGACGTAGGAGGATAGAATATGTGGATAAAGTAAAATATCTTGGAATCACACTCACAAGTAATCTGGCATGGAATGGGTATGTCGACGGAGTTGTTAAGCAAACAAATCGGACGGTACACCAATTAAAAGTTTGCAAACACCTGTTACCGGTACCTTTGAGAACCAGACTGTTCGTGTCTCTTGTCTTGCCGCATATCGATTACTGTTGCGTGGCATTCACAGATATCACGAGAGAGCAAAATACTAGACTGCAGCGCTCTTTAAATACCTGTATAAGATTCATCTTTAACATTAAAGGCTATGAACACGTGACACCGTTCTTCGAACAGTTAGGATGACTCAAAGTACAGCAGCGTAGACTTTATTTCGTTGGTTGCCTTACATACGATATATTAACGAAGGAGGTTCCTAAAATTTTGCATGATAAGTACAGTTTCAGAAGGGAAGTCATTGCCAGGGATACAAGATTGTCAAAGGATTTGCTCACTGTCCCTGTGTGCCGCACTGAGATGTACATATAAGAGATCATTCAGAGTGGTGTCGGCTTATTTCTGGAATGATTTGCCGTTGACCTTGCGTTATGCATCTAGTCAAAATAATTTTAAGGCAGAATTATATAAAATTATGAGGAAACAACGACTATAGGACAGGAAAGCTTGGATAAGCTTTCTGATCTCTCTGTGTTATGTCTATAATTCTTGTTGATTTTTGTTATTGATTTGTGTAGTTTTTATTTTTTATTTTTCTTTTTCTTATTATTCTTATTTTTTCTTTCTATTTCTATTGTATTTGTGTATTTGCGGCTCGCGCTTGAAGGGATGATTACCCAGAGCGCGATTTACAATTAAATATTATATCATATCATATCATATTATTTTTGATCAGGGATATTACTTCCGATGCCATCGCGTCCTTCCATTCGGCAGAACCAGCACCTGAGATAGCGTGAGTCACGGAGATCTCGGTCACGCATGCGAAATCGGCTTGATCGACTTCTGCTTCGTTCGCTCCATAGTCCTTCCGGGGTCTGCCAGGCAATCCCGTCCGGATGATTCGGGGACGTCCTCGTCTCCTCCTCGGTGCCATCCCTTCTTCGCGCTCGTCGGTTCCTTCATTGACTTCTTCGACTTCAGACTCTTCGACTTCAGACTCTTCGTGTCCCTCATCTGTTCCGATCGGTTCCTGAGTTAGCTCGACATCCATAGCGTCGACCGTCCTCTCATCGGTTTCCCCATCTAGCGACTTCTTCTCTGGATAGAAGTCCTCGGCCGATGGTTTCAATCCACTCGAGTGATTTTCCAGAAACCTTACATCACGAGTTATCTCTACATTTTTGGACTTTGGTATCCAGACACGATAACCCTTGGACGTCTCGGAATATCCGATAAAAATTCCCTCCTTGAAACGGACATCGAACTTTCCTCTTGTGGGAGCCTTGTTCAGGCAGAACACTTTGCAGCCCAACTCTCTGAAGTAACTCACATTAGGCACCTCGCCCTTCAAGCTTCGTGAGGGGTTTTTCCGTTTAGCTTCCTCGTGGGACATCGGTTCCTAATGTAGTTCGTAGTGGATCGCCTCCGCCCAGAATGATGGTGGTAGACCGGACTGAAGCAGGAGGCATCGCGCGGAGTCCAATAGGGTTCGATTCTTCCTTTCGGCTATGCCGTTTTGTTCCGGTGTATAAGCGGTCGTGAGACGTCGTTGAATCCCTTGTGTTTTCAGATATTCGTCGAATTCCTTGTTCACGTATTCACGGCCATTGTCAGATTGAATCGCCTTCACACTTGCCCCGTGCTGTTTCTCGACGAAGGCCTTGAATGCCTTGAATTCATCCAGTGCTTGATCCTTGCTCTTTAGGAATCTCACCTCTGTCCATCTCGTAGAGTCGTCGGTGAAAGTTATAAAATATTTGGACCCACCGTTAGATGACACGCGCATAGGCCCACATATGTCGGTGTGAACGAGCTCTAATTTCTTCGTCTTACGATCAGACTCTTTCGGGAACGGCGGTCGCGCCATCTTTCTTTTGATGCATATCTCGCAACTCTGATCATCGACACCGTCCTGCACGTTGAAGCCTCGAATCGTTCCGTCCTTCGATGCACGCACGAGATCACGGAAGTTCAGGTGCCCCATCCTTCGGTGCCATAGCCTGGTATTCTTCGGAATTGTAGAGCGGTTGCTAGTTTTTAATTCTTCGACGTTCTGGCAGCTATTCGATGGCCCCTGTTCGCGACTCTCTTTTGAGAGAGCTCGCTGGACCGCTGCGGTTGGAAGCAGGGCTGAGAGGACTTTTGCGGCGAGAGAATCGGGGAACGGATGTACGCGTGAGAGGTTAGAAATCACGTGATCGTAACTCGAATCGATTGTGTAAAATACCGTGGTCCGTTTAATACATGTAAAAGCTTACAGTTTGAGCAGTCTAGGGTTTAATGGGGATGATCATTCTCTGTGTCACTTGCACGGGTCGATTATATTAATCGATGACTGGCCTCGTGATAGCGGATGCCCGTGAGCCGTGTCCACGCGACGCCGGCGTGCGATGCGTGGTGAGCTTGAGCTGCCGGTGATGCTGTATCCCGAGCTGTCCTGGTTGAATCGCACTGCTGAGTTCACTACGTGTCCACACTGAGTCTATCCGTGATGAAGAAAGTCCACTATAGCACTTGAGAATCTTTAGCACTGCACGACGCGTGTACTTCGTACCGTAGCCATGAGCGAAAAAGCCCCGGAAACGAGCGTGAAGCAGCGCGGTCGCCTCGCCTCGCGATCGGGCATGCGCGCGCAGCGCCCCTGTGGCGCTGCACGATCCGACCCGGCTGATGCTGCCATCACGCCGGTGACGAACAGACCGAGATTCATAATTGAATCCGGAACAGCCCCCCTTCGAGAAGATAAAGATCGCCGACCCATTTGGCGATGAGTTTCGTATGTCCACTTGAATCGATGATTTCGGCCCTCCGCTTATCAAAATTAACTCGGTACCCTTTGTCCGCAATTTTCGATACCGACAGCAGATTCATCCTCAACTTCGGGACGTGTAGCGTCTCGTTTAAGGCTATGTCTCTCCTCTTTCCGCCGATTACCGTTGTGATGGCCGCCGTACCTCTCATTTTGATTTCCGCGGATGCATCGCTGGCCGACTTCAATCTGCCCGATTCCACTTCGTTCGTCTCGGTGAAAAGGTCAACGTCCTTACAAATGTGCGATGTGCTTCCACTGTCCAGATACCACACGTTGTCGCTCATATTGTCTGCGATTTGGCACCTCTCACGCGTATCTTCCGTCGTCATAAGGGATACGCGCGATTCCTTTTCTTCTGCCTTCTGGGATGGACACTCGGAAGCCTTGTGTCCCTTTCCATGACACTTGAAGCATTTGAACTTGATCGTTTTCTCGTTCTTTCGATCTTCCTTCTTAGTCGGATTTTCCTTCGTCTTATCTTGCTTTCTCCTACTTACGAATAAAGCATCTTGCGATTGGCTCGTCGTTGCTGCATTTTTCCTTGCGTCGGACTCCTCTACGATCTTGATGCGTAGGGTCTCGGAATCTGGAAGATCGTCACGACTTTCGATAGCTACCCGAAAGTTCTCGAAGGTCGACGGCAGGCTGTACAGCATCATGATCGCGAGCTGATCCGCATTGACGACGACGTCCATCTCGGAAAGTTTGTCCACTGTGTCCAGGAAATCTTGTAAATGCTCGCGCACGTCGCTTTCCTCTCTCATGCGTTTTAGAGTGAGACTTTTTAATAGTGTGGCTTTACGGGCGGGGCCCTTGGACTGAAATATATTTTCTAACTTTAGCCATAACTCGCGTGACGTAGCGCAGTTTTTATCAACTTCAACTGTCCGATCCCTATAGATAGAATCAAATCAGACTTAGCTTTTTCGTCCTTAGTATTCCAATCGCGGACTTCGGCGACGTTGTTCGCCGTGGGTTCCGGCTTCACCTTCTCGCCGCTCACATAGCCCCAGGCGTCGTTCTTAACCAACAGCGCACGCATCTGCAGTTTCCACGTATCGTAATTATCGCGCCCGAGCGCCTCGATACGTACGACGCTGTTTCCACTCATTGTCTACGCGAAAAGAAACGATCGTCGTGTTGGCTCGTATCGCGAAGGGAAGAGAGACGCAATATGGCCGACTTTCTCCTTCTTCTTCGTGTCGTGATATCCGCACTTTGTGTCTCAATAGTCAGAGTCACTTAGAATGCCTGGGCCCATAACCTGATGAAACAGGAGGCTAGGGAAGGCAACTGAGACCATGAACACACACCCGCGATATATCTCAGAACTATCTTTATTGAACAATAGTACACACGTTGGACCGATACGAAGTCTCCGGTAACGTAAGAGAACGATCGAGAAAGAACACGGTAGAGATCGATACTAGACGGTCGTTAGTGACTACGCGACCGGTTCGTCGCGCCACCTTACACGCGCTAACGTTAATCTCCCCAGAATGAGAAGTCCAATGAGCGTTCACCGGCGGGACGCCATAGGAACATAGTTTCCGCCAACACTATTAACATCCAGATATATATATAAATATACTCGTAAATATAATATACCCTTCTACTATAATATAAATATGTATAATATATTTTTATACTTGTATATATATCCGATTTATAGGACTCGCGATACGACAGTGAAAGTGTACAGATGTGTAGAGCGACGGAAGAAGAAAATTGTGAGGAGTAGTAGATTTGGAGGGAGGAAGGAGAGAGGAGACGGAGGGTCAGAGAGAGCGGAGGCAGGAGAACAAGGAGATATAAGGTAGGTCAGACACAAAGAGCTGAATTGAAGATTAGGAGGCAATATAGAGACAGGTAGGAGACGAAATAGGTTAGAGTGACAGGTAAGAACACGAGGGAGATAAAGAGGAGGGAAGCGACAACTGCCGGAGAAAAAATAAAGTAAAGGAAGGGAACTTACCGACAGCAATAAGAAACAGATAACCGACAGGAAAGAGGCGGATAAGCGTACCGACGGATGGGGAAAGAAGGAGAAAAAGCAACGGAAAAGAAGCAGTAAGGAGATAAAGAAGACAGGAAAGAGGACGAAAATAGAAGGAAAATAAAGGGTAGGCCAACGAGAGCAGAAGAGCTGGGAAAGCA